TATTTTATAGTTTTATGACATTTGGTAATATTTAGATTTTTTTTTATTTTAATTCTAGTTGAAGTTTGAAGTTTTCAAGTTGTTTTGTTATTTTTATTTTTATTATATTTATATTTTATATATTATATATATTATATTTTATATTGACATTATATTTTAGTAATATTTAGATTTTTTTTTTTATATTGCCACTTTCATTTTTATTTTAAAGTTTTAGTCACTTTGTTTAACTTTTTATCGGTTTTATTTATTTATTTTTTAACGTCTGAATAGTTTTTTAATTTTTTAATTTTAGATTTTGTCTTGCTATTTTATGTTCTTTAGTTATTTTTAGTTTTATAAAATGTATTAATATTTTGAATTGGTTTTTATTTTTATATTTGTTGTTTTCATTTAAAATTTTAGTTAAAGTTTTAGTCATTTTGTTGTGCATTTTTGTCAGTTTGTTTTTTAATATGCCTATTTAGTTTTATTGTTTTTTCAGTTTTTTTTTTTTTTAGCTATTTTCAATTTTAGTCTATCTTAGTACTTGACCTTAAACTAAATGACTATTTAATGAAGGTATAACTGAAAGTGTTTTTTATTATTATTCTAATGAAGGCTAACAGCAGTAACGCAGTGTTTCCGCTCATGTTTTCTCCAGTCGGCTACACGATGAACGACCTGATCTTCGAGTGGCTTGATAAAGGTCCGGTTCAGGTCGCCGAGGGTCTGACGCTACCGCAGTTCATCATCAGAGACGAGAAGGAGCTGGGCTACTGCACCAAACACTACAACACAGGTCACTCATAACCCCTTTAACAATCATCCTAACAACCCCATCGTTCAGTCACACTGCCTCAATGAAGCAGTACTCGTTTCTTATTCATTTAGTGCTGCTGATTCCAAAAACACTGTCTGGTTTGCTCTTTCACATCACACTTTCTCACTAAATGTGTGCATTTTGTGGCATTTTTGCTTTTAATAATCATTCGTATGGTGAAGTCGTTTCGTATTTTCACTTAATCAGCAGAAAAACACACAAACACATGATTCCTGTCTGAATCTGAGCTGCATTAATAACAATTTGATCAATTATTTTATGACTAATCCTGACATCAAGTTCAGAATTATGGCCAGAGACAGAATAAAATGCAAACATGAGCCTGATTCTTTCAATTTTCACTGCTAGTAAATTTCACAATTGAATTAAACATGAAATTTTACTTCTAAAATGGATTTAAATCATCTTTTTAAATTAGTTGTATTGATTCTTTTATTTACATCTTTTTACAATGTATAGTTTTCATTGTTTTTAAAGTTATTTTAGTATTTCAATTTAAACCAGTTATTTTAGTTTCATTGAGATACTATTATAGATTTTGTTAATGTTTTGAATTTGATTGTATTTTTATATTGCCTTGTTAATTTTAAAGTTTTAGTATTTTTGTTGTGTGATTTTTTTTTTCATATTATTAGTTTTGTTGTTTTTAAAATGCATATATTATTTTACTAACTTTTAATTTTTATTTTAGTTTCAGTTTTTTATTACATGACGTTAAATTAAATGAAAATGAGAAATTTTGCCTTAAAAACTAGCTGAAATAAAATATGTTTAAGTTTTTTATATTTCATTTTATTTCAGTTAACATTTATTTTATTTCAAGCAACAATTTTTATATTATTTAAATATTTTTATTTTAGTTTGAGCTTTTTTATTACATGAAGGTAAACTAAATGAAAATGAGACATTTTGCCTTAAAAACTAGCTGAAATAAAATACGTTTTTTATGTCAGTTAACATTTATTTCATTTCAAGCAACAATTTTTATATATATTTTTTTTTTACACATACATTTCCTCTCCTTTGCATACAGTAAGTTAAATCTTCTCAAAAAAATCTTCTTACTCAACATCTTTTTCCAATCTCGGATGGCAAACAAGATGAAAAGAACAAACTCACATCTTTGCATGGCCTGAGGATGATTAAATTAACACTGAACTATCCCTCTAGTGAGGTCTTTGTGAAGCTGTAGCTGTGACTGTGTGTGTGTGTGTGTGTGTGTCTGTGTGTGTGTGAATGTATATTTTGCGTTGCTGCATTGTGTGCGAGACCTGATGAATATAAGATCAGAATGAACATATTTATTCATTTGTATTAAATGTTTGTCATTATTCTGTCATTTTTCATTCTGTATGTAATTCACATATTTATGCCAAAACTCTTAATTAATATTCAAAGTCACACTGTCGGCGCGTTACACTGTTTAAGATTAATTAGCCAAAATGTTCAACATTGTTCAATTTCTTTAATGCAAATCATTCATCTACTTTAACACTTCTCTTACGAAACGTAACCAAGGTATGTGTAGTAAAACTGTGGCAATACAAATGGAAATCAGTACGCGGAAAACATAGTAAAACATGGTTACTACATATTTACAAGTCAAGTCACCTTTATTTATATAGCGCTTTTTAACAATTTTACTGTAGTAAAACCATGGCAGATTTTTGTAAGGGTGTTTATCAGTGAAATTCATTTAAAAAATGTAAACAGCTATGAAATATGATCAGTAAGAGAAAAACATTGTTAAAGAGAAGACGACCTTGACTGCAGCAGGTTAGTTGGGAAATAAGCGTATTTATTATTCAGAATGCACATTTGGAAGGGAAATGTATTAATAGGAACATTTCAGCAGGTGATATGAGATGTTTTTCTCTGATAACTTTTCATGCTAATTAATGTTTTAAGTATTTAATTGTGAAAACTATTATATTATAACAGAATCAATAAGTTAGTGAAGCATAAATCGTTTTATTTTTCAGATTGCATTTTTTAATTATTGCATTTTTTATTATTTCTAATTTATTAAATATGTAAAAAAAAAAAATCTTAATTTCATTGCAGTTTGTCGTTTTTATTCATGTTTCAACAATTTTTTTTATTTGTGAAAAATAGTGATTAGAGAATCAATACGTTACTAAAGAATAAATCTGTTTATTTTACAGATTATTAATTTATCAAATTCAAATTATTTTTTTTACAAATGTTTATTCATTTTACAATTATTTATTTCTAATTATTTTAGTTTATTTTTTCACAAATAAAAAACAATTAACATTAATAAAAGTAAACACTGCAATGAAATTGATTTATTTGACATATTTGCTAAATTAGAAAAAAATGAACTTGATAAAAAATAAACTGTAAATTATAAAAACATTCATGCTTCAGTCATTTCTTGATTCTGTAACCTGTTTCCTCACAATAGGACCACAGTATCAAGAAGTTACTAAAGCATAACTCTGCTTATTTTTAGAGATTTATATTTTTTTAATGAGGGTAGATAGATGATTGATAGATGATAGATAGATAGGTAGATAGATGATTGATAGATATATAGATGATAGATAGATGACAGATAGATAGATAGGTGATTGATAGATGATAGATAGATAGATAGATGATAGATAGATGACAGATAGATAGATAGGTAGATAGATGATTGATAGATGATAGATAGATAGATAGGTAGATAGATGATTGATAGATGATAGATAGATAGATAGGTAGATAGATGATTGATAGATATATAGATGATAGATAGATAGGTAGATAGATAGAAGGTAGATAGATGATTGATAGATAGATAGAT